AGCGGCTCGCACTTTATTGGTTCGGCCGGTGTTAGACCGCTAAAAACCGTTAGCGAACCGATATCTTATAAACAATAATATGATAAATACTATACATATTAGACCATAAATTCACAATAGAATTCATCACTAATAAACAAATTTAAAATATGAGTATTAAAGTTCAAAAGTTCAAACATCACATGAACCACACTATTTTCAAATAAAAACAATGAATAAATAGTCAAATTTATATAATTATTAATTTTTCATTTTAGATTTCTAGTCATGACCATCTAGCATTATGATTACGAAAATGTTAAAATTATGCGGAAAAAATGTAATTTGTCCATATAATTAACCAAAATAAAAACTAAAAAATAAAAAATCCAAACGAGACATGCAGATGGCATTGGGAAGGAAAAGTTCAACGCATGCAGCATTCCACCCTATCATTTGAGAGAATGAATGTGTTTTTTAATAATAAAAAAAAAGAAATTAATGCTAGCTAAAAGGATTATTGGCGCACCAAAACAGAGGTGAAAAGCCCCTTGTCAAAAAAAACAGAGGTGAAAAGCCCATTTTCCGGGGGGAAGCGGGGAGACAGCCCAGCTTCTCAACTCCTGTGCACTTCTCGGATACCGTACTAATTCATTCAATATGGGATTTGATAGCTTAGAGCCGGCTGACCGGGTTGAATGGTTTTGGCGGTTAATTGTTCAAACCGTTAACTAGCCGCTCAATTCAACCGTAGCGTTTTTTTAACTATTCCGAGCCGGGCTGGTGGTCGGGTCCCGGTTTTACCGGTCCGACTGACCGGCTCAGTTCGGTTTTGATAGCACTGAGAAAAACCCTTCCCCCATTTCAAATTCCCTGCTCCATGGGCGTTTGTAGGAAGGGTAGAATAGGGAGTCAATATTTTTTCTTTTTCCTTTGTGGAACGGGCCAACTTACCGTACACATGCAGATTTAAACGGGTCTAGGAGTGTCAATTTTTTTCTTTAAGTCCTTTTATTTCTCCGTGGTGGTAAAATATATATGAAAAGGCAAAAACAATACTCTTTTTTTATTGCTAAAAAGAAAACAAATTAACAATAAACTAATGCATGAATTCTAATGGGCTAACCGCTAATCATAAAATAAAAGAGTTGAATGAGTCTGACCTACACGGGATTTGCCCATCAAGTAAAATAAATGAACATCATGGGTTTGTCATTCTAAAACAAGCTATTTTCTCTAGCATAATATATATTATGCTATTATTTTATATCTTAGTGGCTAAAATTAATGTATTTTAAAGTTATTCAATGGTGCAACCTTGACCAACCCAATTAGTCCAATTTTTATCATTTCAAATATATATTATGTAATTATTTGATATCATAATGATTAAATTATAGTGTATATTATAGAGAATCGTTTGGTATTTGTTAGTAAAAAACTAAACAAAAAGATCTATTTGGTTTTTTTTAACATGAATTTTATCCTAAACATTTCCAATTTCCTTTCAAAATTCTATAGTTTTATTCCCGAATCAGTGATGTGCAAATGGCGAATTGTAGTAATCTCTTTTCTTTCATTATTTTTTATTTTCAAATAGAAAGTTTAAAAGTAAAGAATAATTAGAGTTTGGCATGGGTCGGTCAAACAGGCTGAATTTCAAGTTCTGACCCGTTTTGATCAAGTCTAATTTATAATCACATGGTTCCCTAATAACCGATAAAAATCTCAATCCAAACCAGTTTGGCAGGTGAGTCCGTGTTTACCAACATTTTGTAGGGATACAAGAACGGTGGTTCCTATCCCAAATCGTGTTGTTCATTCTTGATTTCTTTAGATTTTATCATGACTTGGCAAAAAACCAGAAAGCACAATGATGACAAGATGAAAGTTTTATAAAGCAAATTAATCGGCCAATGGGCCGAGTAAAAGCTAGCAACGATTGTGAGATGCTCATTTCCCGAAAACTGGCGGTATTGGCGATTTTTTATTCGATTTTCTGGAATTCGGTTTCTATAAAACTTACTCCACCACATCATATTACCAAAAACAATATTGTTTCACAAGGTAACAGGTACTTGATTTTGGTTCATAAGGCTGATTTTTGATTCGTTGCATCATTCATGTCTCTTTCCTACTAAAATTCACGATTTTTATCACGTGTTTCCCAAAAAAAAACTATACAACAATAAGCTAGCTATACACCCCATTACATTATCAAATTTCATACCTCACCTTCCTCCGGCCAAATGACCGGGGCCCATGCTAGTCAATATATATTGTGTATCAGTTCCTATTTTCAACAGCTGCTCTAGTAACTTCTTAAGGGAATAAACCTCATATTTCTTTTAGTCTTTTACGTTTTAGAATTTTAGGTTTCATTGTTTGCTTTTCTTTATATGAGAATCATTGGAGCTAGAATTTTCAGGATAAATTTAGAGTTGTGATTTGAATATGTTCATCTTACCCATTTTCCTAATTACACACAATTTTATTATAAAATAACACTGAGCCAAATGGCTAAAATCGATAAACTCATAAGGGCTATATTAGTTCCGGATCAAGGGGAGGGCTGGACCGTGGCCCGGGGTGGCCGCCCCCTGGTTCCGCCACTGGTAATAAGCAGGGAAACAACTCACGACCTGCGTAAATTGTCATTAAGCCATTGCAGACCTTGATTTTCATAAACTTTTCCATGAGCAACAGGCCAATCCACCATTGTCCTGGTTACTTTGTTAGCGACAACAACAAGCTCACACCTAACATTGCGGAAAATCTGGTGATTTCTCGCAAAGTGTCTCGTGATTGAACCTAATGCATTAGTCTCATGACTTAGACTATACGTAGCTTCACCACTGTCATTGACATTCCCACAATGAAGCCAATCTATAATTCCCATGGATCAACTTAGATCATTCCAAATTGTCATTTAATGCAATGGTGACAATTCTTATAGCAACGATTCATTAGGTCCTTACGAACGTGAGTCCTACTAAACCGAATTATGTAGAGTTACCGATTTCTGATGAGGGTATTTTCCGTGTTTTGGGTAGTTTCGGTTTGGGCTAGGGTGTTTTCCTTTTGAGTTTTGGGTTCGGGTAGTCGAGTAGGAGAAGGATTTCGGTTAGGATTAGGTTAATATTAGGCTTTTCTAAGCCTATAAATATGTACCTTTGGCATTAGTTCCGTATCAATCAAATAAATCAAAGATTTATAGACACCAACGTCTTTCTCTCGCTTGTGAGTTGAAAGAAAACCCCTTGAATCTTGGGTTACGGTTCATCAATTGATATCAGAGTCTGGTTCCGAATCCGTTCGGGATCAGTTCGCAATGGGTACCGGCACAGCAGCTGACGATGCTCGGCGTTGGAGGCGGCATTCAAGGAGATGCAGATGGGGATGGCGACCAATACGGAGAATATCATGAATCTGATGGTGGAGGCCACCACCCAAGGGGCGCGCATGGCTAAGCTCAAGGCCATGATGGAGACGGTGTTGGCTAAGCTAGGCGCGTGCATTCCGTAGAGGGAGGGAAAAGGACTGATGGGTTCGGTCACCGGAGAGGAGAGTTCGGAGGAGAAGGAGGGAGAGAAAAGTGGTTCGGAGGAGAAGGAAGGGCAGAAGAGTACGACTGGAATGAAGATAGGGGGAGAAGCTGGACTCGCCCAAGGAACGATGGCTGCAGAGGCGCGCGTCGCGGGGAGTCGGCGATAAAGAGAAGCTTCGGTGGCAAGCCAGTCGGGGATGGTAGCAGGCGCAGCAGCGGCGGGGGAGGATTCCTGGCGAAGCTTGCAAGGCTTGAATTCCCGAAGTTCGCGGGGGATGATCCTGGATCGTGGTTTCCTCGTGTCGAGCAATTCTTCGAGTACCAGGAGGTTCCGGATGATCAAAAGGTGCCCTTAGCTGCGTTTCATCTAGAGGGAGAGGCGAACCAGTGTTTACAATGGCTGAAGCACACCTACAAAGACGTAGAGAGCCAATTTTGTGGGGGATGTTCTCGCAGGAACCGTGGGCGAGGTTCGGTCCGACTGAAGGAGAGAGCTGAGACGAACCCCTGTCGCGGATTCGTCAGACTGGCACCCTGCGTGATTAGCAGAATGAATTCGAGAAATTGGCTAATCGCTGCATCGGCTGGACGCAACAGGCACTGGTGGGCACGTGCTTGGGAGGTATAAAATCCGAGATCACCGACGAGATTAGGATGTTTCGTCCACAATCTGCGCGACGCCATTAGTCTGACAAGGATGAAAAATGACCAAATCCAGCGCCATAAACTAGCTGGTCGATCGGCACCGTCTACTGGAGGTGGAGGGGCGACAAGTATCGGTGGTGAAGGCTACGTCCGAGAACTGCAAGCTCGGGAGGAGGAGGGCCGGCGCGTGGACCGCCAGGAGGAAAGAGGTTGAGCTGGGAGGAGCAGCAGTTGCGACGAGCTCAAGGCCTCTGTTTCAACTACGATGAGCGATTCACCATCGGGCACAAATGTAGTAATGCTAGGGTGATGTGCTTGTTCGAGGAAGAAGATGGCGAGGGGCAACCTTTCGGACAAGGTTGATTTCAAGGGGGGAGGATTGATGAGGGTATTTTCCGTGTTTTGGGCTTTGGGTAGTTTCAGTTTGGGCTAGGGTGTTTTCCTTTTGGGTCAAGTTTTCCTTTTGAGTTTGGGGTTGGGGTAGCTGAGTATGAGAAGGATTTCGGTTAGGATTAGGTTAAGTATTAGGCTTTTCTAATCCTATAAATATGTACCTTTGGCATTAGTTCCGGATCAATTAAATAAATCAAAGGTTTATAGACACCAACGTCTTTCTCTCGCTTGTGAATTACAAGCAAAACCCTTAAATTGTGGGTTACAGTTTATCAATTTCAATAGTTCAAATGCACTTCAACATTACAATTTATGAAGTTTATAAAAAAAATTATCTCCTTAATTGAAATATATTACTTTGAAAGTCGCGTTACCAAATATGATTTCGCTTTGTGTTGCAACTCCCACAGTCACAACTCACAAGTGATTACAAGTCATAATGACTCATTATTCATTAGTGAAGTCACGTAGGATTCTCAGTTTGCACTCCACTTTGTCCTCGGATATTTCTATGGGCTTGTTTTTCCCATAGAAAGTTCCGTCAGCTCATTGTAAAAGCCCATCCAAACTTATGAAAACTATGGTCTAATAATAAACCCACAAAAGGCCGAACCATGTGAACTGTGAAATATTGCAGCTGCGCTACGTTGCGCCCATTGGTTGTTCTCAGTTTTGTTCGTCTATTTTCAATTCCGTGGTCCCGACGAGGATCCAACTTCAGCTTCCAGACAGACAGCGGTTAGTTTTTTACTAATTTCGGGTCACCGCCCCTTGTTCTCTTCTCCCATTGATTGAGGTTGACAGCTAATTGATTATTCACTAACCCCTTTTTTACGTCCGTTAATGACAAAGACGGGAACATTAATTAAAACCGCTATTATGAAAATGGTGCATTATTTTGTTTCGCTTTCTGGAGTCCCCATCAATCAAGAGGCAACCATTGGGCATTAAGCTACAAACAAAACTAGTAATCAATATCATTAATAACATTGTTTACCTTCAAACATTAGATCCCCTTACTCATCCTAAAAGTCCATTTTAGTTAATTGGCCCTTTGAATTGCCTTCCCTATTGGGATTTCGACAGATGTTGAATGAGTAGGCATCAATACGACGTGATGTTATGAGATTGTAATTTCATTGGATCATAAGTATCATTGATCTATATCTTTGAATTACTTCTAGGTCGTTTACAAGAGTGTCTAAAAGTGAGATCTGTGCTATTCAAAACTATGAACCATGAGCGTCTAAAATTGAGATTCGTGCAATATGACACAACTATCAACCATGAGTGACTAAAATATTGAAGCATCTGCAATTCGATAGTATCAGGCTATCAGCTGCAATCGAAACTATAAACCATGGCGTCTAATATTGAGATTCGTGCAATATGACACTACTATCAACCATGAGTGACTACAATAGATTGGAGCATATGCAATTCGATAGTATCACATTGAGATTATAGCATATCAATACAAATACCCAAATTACCCTTTTGGATTCCATTTTATTAGTTGTCCTCCTACCTTGTCAAAAGGGGAAGTGAACAAGCAATAGAATTTTGTTATGGATACCCAATGCCTCTGTTTCCAAACTTTGAGATTTGCTTCTAGAAGCTCATGACAGAAAGCTTGGGGTGTAGATAAGAACTGCCCTACTTTTCCAACCACTAAATTCCTATTTTGGTCCTCATACTTTACAACAAACAACATCCAATCAAATCCAAGGAGATTCCATTGAACTCTGGCTGAGAAAAATGTCGCCGGTTAATTGATAGATCATCAGAAGATCCGAACTCAAGAGAAAGTTACTACATACATGTCGAATTTCAGAATAGAGCTCTAATTTTCTGAATCGAACTAGTTAGTCTAATACTACTAGCTGTACAAAGATCTAAATTGCCCAAAAACAACTCTGCTTCTTTCCCCCCTTTGCAAATCAGTCCCCAGATTTTCACCAGCACTGATCAGTCTCCCACCTCCGGCTTGTGTACCCGGGAGAACCCCCCGACGGGGAACCCGAACCCGACGCGGCGGACATCACAAAGGCGTAGCTCATCGACCGCCCGAGCCGGAACAGGGACCGGTCGTAATCGGCCCGCTTGGCCGGATCCGAAAGCGTCTCGTACGCCTTGTGCAATTCGATGAACTCGCTCGCCGCGCTCTCCTCGCCGGCGACGTCCGGGTGCAGGACTCTGGCCAGCTTTCGATACGCCGACTTGATCTCCTGACACGATGCGCCCATCTGGATCCCGAGCACCTCGTAGAACGACGAGGGAGCTGCGGTGCTGGCGCCTCTCCGGCGAGTTCCCGCCGTCGACGTGCTGGACCCCCTCTCGGCGGTGGAGGCGCAGGAGGCAGAGACTCGGAGCGGCTTGAACCCAACTCGAGACGGCTGCGACGAGTGAAATCTCCTGGTTTCGAGAGTTGGAGCGATTAGAGAAGAAGAAGAAGAGGGCGCGCTGAGAAAAGCTGAGGCGGATGCCATTTTCGCTGTGATTGATCGGTGTTTGAAGTTTCTTCCGATTGCTTGGATTGATGGTTCAGAGGATTCCGTTGTGAATTTTTAGGTTATGGGGAGAGGGAAGACTTTGGAGGTATTTATATAGGAAATATCGATGCCGGTGCGGTGAGGGGAGATACCGAGAGAGGGATGTGTGGATTAGATTTAACCATGGTTGAGTTTCCCTTTGCTTGTTTCGCCGGAAACCATGGTTAAGTTTGGGGAGGGACGTTCTATTTTCCCGTTAGTACTCGTCCATGGGGGTTAATTGTGTTATAGTCATTCAAGTTTGTCATAGCTTACCAATGCTGGGATACATTTTGGAGTTTTCACAAATGCCCTATTAAAAAAATACCATTCTATCCTATAGTACATTTTCTTACTTGTGATGGAATAAAAAATGGCGATTCCCTAAAACGCTAAATTCTTTGGTTTATTTAAACTAAAAAAAATAGTAAGAAGAAAGCAATAAGCGAATCAGTGGACATTATCACCATTGGACTAATCAGCTTAATCTTATTATACATTGTATAATTCCTCAAGTCTTTCTTATCAATATTATTATTATATTACATAAAAGTGGAAACAAAAAAAGTTACAAAAAATTAGTGGGTAACCGAGATACAACCGTGATTATTATATTGTTTTAATTATTAAGGTATTAGAGTCCAAGCAAGGTCTTTGCTAACAGGTGCTCTTACTTGTTGATCCCAAATTTGTGGATGTAAAAAATCACATGATGAAAGATAGAAATCACTATTCACTACTGTCAGTTCAAACTTTAGTGGAGATTTGTTGAAACTTTTATATTTGAAGATCCATTTGTCAGTTGCTCCAAAACTTGCTGGTCGTTATGTAATTAACCCTTCTAAGCACCGATATTTTCTGTTTGGGCCGAGGGAGTGGGGCCGGGGCGGGCCTTATCCACGAAACACGGAGCGGCTCGGCTGGCACTCGTCCTGGACTCGGCTGAGTTGCGGTGCCTCGATGCTGAGTCAGCGGAGCGGTGTACTGAAATCGGCTGGCGACGAGTCAGTGACCGGTCGGTATCTAACTGGAGAGATAGAGAAGAAAAAAGGAGAGAGTTATAAATTATAATAATTGCAAAGGGTTTCTAGAAGCTTTTTCCCATTGCCGCATAAAATTAGTAATAAACAAAAATGGGGTCCATCGACCATAATGCATAAACGTATCTTTACGGTTCAGTAAAAATGGAAAGGTACGTTTTATGGGGAGTACAATGACGAATCAGGCAGGTCTAGCTGTTACATGTTCTAGATGATCGGTAGTTAACTTAATAGTTAATACCATGATGATTTGGAAATTGAAATTCAATCCTAAGTGAGACTCCAATATTTGAAGTTTTAAGGGTGAAATTATAAAATATCGTATTATAATCGTAATAAATTATGTTGTTTTTGTTATGTGGGGGCTTAGGCGGTTAGGAAAAAAAAAAGGGCAACTCACAATGAGCTAATCACCCTATAAAGATAGTTGAACAAAGAAATATCCAAAATAGAGAACGAAACTAGAGAGGATTTGGAGCAGACCCTCTGGCAAGGAGCGATGCTCTGGATTCAGAAGTCCACATCAAATTGGGTGGTGTTTGGAGACTTGAACACCTGCTACTTTCATACAAGTACTCTTAGCAGGAGAAAGAGGAACAAGATAATCTGCATTCGTGATGACCAGTGGCAATGAATCCATGATCCTGACACCCTCCTCTTCATGGCCAGGGAGTATTTCCTTCATCTCTTTACTAGAAATGCCTTGATCACCATAAGTGTTATTCATGCTGATTTTCCTATTCTTGATAGTTCTGTTCTAGCTAGAATGGCTTCTCTACCTAATTATGAGGACATTAGAAAGGTCATTATGGACATGAATGGTCTTAAAGCTCTAGGAAAGGATGGCTTTCAAGCCATCTTCTACCAGAAATGTTGATGTTGTTGGAAGAGACTTTTGTGCTTTTATTTCTGCTTGTATTAGGAACCCTAGTAGAATCCAATGCATGAATGAGACTATGATTACTCTAATCCCCAAAGTGAAAAATCCCTCCTCAATGAGTCAATTTAGACCCATCAACCTCTGCAATGTTGGTTATAAAGTGGTGACTAAGCTTGTTGCCAACAAGCTTAAACCCCTGATGCCTCTGTTGGTTAAGAAGAACCAATCTAATTTGATCCCAAAAAAAAAAAAAATTCCCTTATCCCTAATCTCCTCGAATCCTCTTCTTTCTCCTCCAACACCCCCCTCCCTCCCTCCCATCGTAAATCAGACAATCACCATTAATCTGCTTCCAAGACCCCTGTTCTTCTCCCATCTGCTATTCTCCTCATCCTTCGATTTCTTCTTTCTCCTGTAACTAAGAAAACAAAAAACTATAAAAACCAAAGATTTGAAATCATTCTTTTCCAGGCATCAGACCTCCAGCAAACAACGCCATCCTCTAGCATCTTTGGTGCCCTCGTCAACATTGGCATCCTTGCATTTCAGATTATCGCATCTCCTCTGTCCTCACTAAATTTTTTTTTTTTGCATCCTTACCTCTCTAGTGTCCTCGCAAATCTAGGGTTTCGGATGGGATTGGAAGGGCAAGGGGGCAACGACTGATGGTTTCGATTATGGTGGGATTGGTGAGGAAGAAGCTCATGATTGGTCAAGAAAGGGAGAAGCTATTGTTGTGGGTGAAATTTGTGCAGCTTGGAGGGAATGATATGGGGGAACAATTAAAGGTTTTGGCATGATGGTGTGTGGCGGAGTCTTTGGAGATGGAGGCGGAAGGATTGCTGCAGGGGGAGAGATGATCAGGAGAGGAGAGGGAAAGGAAGGGACTAAAAAATCCATTAATTAATTTATTTATTTTTTCATTCGTCCATGTGGCAATGTAACTGACGAAATGTATCCATGTCATACTTTCCGTTAGTCCAGTCACCCTATTAGTTGACACTATCAAACAAATGGACGGAAGTGGCTATTTTTGGTATTTCGCCAAACGTGACTATATTTGGCCAAACCGTCAAAATTTTGACTACACAAACGAATTTCGCCTTTATTTTTTAATAAATTATTTGATCTCATTATCACAACTTGTTGGAAGAAAGTTAATTATAAATCTTATAGTACGTAATCCATGACAAAGCCAACCCACGTGATTGAATTTATACACATATGAATATTCAATATCACATACTTAAAACTGAGAATCTTCAAAATTAGAAAACAAAAACAAAAAACAAAATGCCTTAGTAATTAAAAGCTCTAATGCCACGTCAATAACTTTCTCATATGTACAATACTACAATTAACCTTTTGTGATTAACGGTACTCATAGTCGCATACCACATCTCCTCGTTCTCTGATCACATTGCTTAATTATCGCACTGACTTAGCCACGACATCAAGTTACATCACACTAGCTGAATCGGGTTCGTTACCTTATATTAAAACGATTTACTAACTAATGTTATCTTTCCTTTTTTAACAAAAACCCTATCACTTAAACTGGATTCTAGAACCCGAACTCCTGAAGTCGGCCAAAAATTCCAAACACAAGAAATTAAGTGCTTAGTCAGGAAATTGTCAGATTTTGAATGTGTGGGCCGGGTAGTGGTAGAGTATTCTTTTCGTCAAATAATTTACAATGCTTTAAAAGGACCGAAGGAGTAGTTCGTTGAAAATTTGAGCTATTTAGTAATTAAATAAATGCTTTGGAGTTATTTTGTAGACTATTCTTAATTTCAACAACGAACTTTATAATTTGATGCTGAACTTGGTACACAAGTTGCGGTGAAATGCTTGCGGAGTACTAATTGAGTTTTTATTCGATTATGAATAGAAGTAATGATTGATTCTTGCTTTTTGGTGTTTAATGATTGATTCTTTGGTTATTATGCTAAAAATGTTTTGATCGACTAAAATATCTCTAAATTACGTTAAGCTTAGGCATGTCTCGCGTTATCCTGTCTCATAAATGAATTTGATATTAATTTATGATATTGATATTGCTTTGATTTTAGGGTACAATCATTCAAGCTAACATTGAAGAAATTAAATTTACTAGTTAATTAAACCTATATAACGCGAGGTCAAACCAAAGATTAAAAACCCGTATCGAAAATTGTAAACCGTCAAATTGATCCATCAACAACTATCAAAGGCTTCTCCATAGCGTCGGAGGCTAAATTGGTAACATGCCGTTCTCCCATTTCATGATCCAACTCTCTATGTCCATAATATCTCTAGTCTCTACTTCAATGCTAGTTACTTAAAGCTAGATATTAAAGTGTGGATCATCCATCCTTCGGCCTGCCTATGGTGACCTCTGGGATGACGTTAATAATATCATATGTTGATGGTTTGGGGGTATAATTAAAGGAACATATGGTTTCTGAAAAAAAAAAGTAAAAAAAAAAATGCCGTGAATGTTTGTTGAAATATGGTTTTGAGTCTTGATTAGTTATTTATGTTATTTATTATATGAACTAGTTTCATAGTGAGGGTCATTAATTAAGCTGGAACATTAATATAATTAGATCAATAGGTGATTCCTTAAAATAATAAAGTAAATATTGCGAATTCTTCTACGATCGAGGAGGGCTTGCGGGGTGGTGGAGTTGGGACAAGCCGTCTAGTCTGGGTTTGTGTGTGCAGATGGGTGGGGCAATATAGGTTTATTGGTCGTTCTTGTAATAAGGTGATCCATTTGGTGTCCAAATTCCAATAGAACCTTTTCTTTGGACCCTAATTGTGTCTGGTTTGATTTTCTTTCGTGGCTAGTATCAGTCACTTAATTATGGTTTACTAACATATAAAAGGTTGGGGGTGCTCTTTAAGTGCTTCATTTTCGACAAATGAAAAAATTTAGAAAGAAAGTATCAAAATTCGTCTTATTTTTATTCACGATTTTGATAATTTTTATAATAAATCTAAACGAAACATTGTTTTTTAAACACATCATGGATATATACAAGTAATAAATAAAATTTATTTATAAACACATAAAATCAAACATCCGACTAGATTGATTAAAGACAATCTCTCAAAAATACACATGATTTCGATAAGTGAACACAAACACACCCTATAGCTTTCATTCATAACCAAAATCGGATGCAAAAAAGCCACTGAGAATCACAGAATGTGCCAGATTTTGATTGATTAGTTTCTCATTTAATTATATCGGGTTGGTTAATAAGATTCCTTGAGCCTAATAATGGGATTATAGTATAATTTCCATCTGTGGAAAGAAACCATATATATTTGCTGTCCGTCCTTCTAGAAGAAGGGAACCGTCGACTTATTTGCTGGCCTTCTAGAAGAAAGCGCACAAAGATATTCATGAAAAAATGAATTATAAGTGGGGAGCTCAGTCGGACAGATCATTGCATGGGCCATAGGCTTGATTGATTGCCAACCGCAATATTATTCCAACTTCAACGGCCTGGCCTGGCCTTGCTGGCCAATTAATTAAAATCCCGGCCGTCGTCTCTTTACGGCTACTAATCGCTAAGGGTTCGTTTGGATGGAGTATTTGTATGAATTATATGAGTTATTTGGACGCAAATAACTTGTTTGACAGCATTTTACTTTACTAAAATGAGTTATTTGGACAGTGAGATATTTACAAATAACTCAAAACGAGTTATTTGAAATAACCTATACCCATGTGTTATTTCGAAATAACTCGTTTTATCACCCTGCTTTTATCAAATACCACATGTCAAATACTACATTTGCATGGTTCAACCAAACGAGATACTTTATTTCAATTACCACTGAAACAACACTGAAATATCACATGAACAATTAATGAGTTATTTGACTCTACAAATACCACATTGACAATTAACTCATCCAAACGATCCCTAATAATATTATGGTCCGGCAAGCAAAAATTCTCACTCATTCCCATAAAACAATTTGAGCACCGTTTGTCGTATACGTCTATGGTTGGGCACGTCGGGGAGGAATGGGTTCACAATTCTTAATCCAAACTCTCACAACCGTTCTCCGTTATGAACAACCAGAAACCAACAACAAACTCCATCCCATTGGAAAACGAATAATGTCCTGCTGCTTGCTTGTTTGGACATAGCGTGGGTGGGTCTCCTTTTCCAGTGCGGGGTCCAAGTTTTATAATCCAAATTGGGTTAGTAGCGTAGGTCTGAAATTGTACCGTTAGTGGGGTGACGGTAAGATAGTTTGTGATTAAATAATAATTTAACGGTTTCATACGAATAAAAATTTATATTAGTTTTGATCTTAGCAGTCGGTTTTTTTTATCCGACCGGACCGTTGGTATAATATCGTTTAACAAACACGGAAAGATCCTTACAAGAAGAGGGGTTTCTTTTTCTATTCAATATTCATATCATACTCCAGCAGTTAGAGGTGGCAATTGGACTGGATCAATGGATTGGTGTATCCATGAATTAATTGGATTGGATCAAATGGATTGGTGGATAGGTGGATTGATCCATGAATCCAAATGACATCCAAGTCTTGGATCAATATGTAAATTTTGAAAAGTTTGGGTAGTAAAATGTCATGATAAAAAAGTTCAGGCACCAAAACATAATTTTCAATGATATTTTTTGTATAAAAAGTTAAATTTTGGGTACCAAAATGTACAATATAAAAAGTATAGGTACCAAATCATAATTTTCTATTTGGATCCATGGATCAATCCATGAATCCACCAATCCAATTGGATTTGGATCAATCCATGAATCCACCAATCCAATTGGATTTGGATCAAATGGATTGAATTAGTTGGATATTTTAGTGGATGGATTGGTGGATTATTGGATTGAAAATTGTCATCTCTACCAGCAGTTAAAATAAAATAGAAGAGGAAATGACCCGTTCGAAGTTCACATAGGTAAAATTGAGCCGAATCATCTTGAGAGTGTTATGGGTGAATTCAAATGGACTGGGCGGATCCAGAAATTTTACATATGGGGGTCTCCTCTCTAAAAAATTTAATTTAATTGAATAAAATAATTATTAAATACGAAAATATCTGCTAATAAAAGTTACATTCAAAATTTCAGATGTGTTTCATAAAATGGTAAAATACATTCGGTGTCTATACTGTTCAACAAATATCTCTCCACATATTCTACTAGACAAGGGTATCTTGTAATTGGGTTTAATCGTTAGGTTTTGAAAATAATTTGGGATAAGAATAACATTTTACTATTATATTTGGATTTAAACACAATAACAAATGAGTATTGAAAATATGTTTACTAGTGGCACTGTCCCAAGTTTAAATCACATAGACTACTACTTAAACATTATTTGTACCCATACGCAAACCACTAAGGAAGGTTGGATAATCCTTTTACCAAATTTTAAGGGTGTCCAACTCTCGCTTAAACATTTTTTTCCCCATACGCAAACTACTATCGGATGTTGAATAATCGTGTTTCCAAATTTTAGAGGTGTCCCGGGACACCCCTAAATATGCATGTATGCGCCACTGAACTATGCCAGTAGCAAGAGACAAGAGTGTACTTACCAACATAGTTGGGTTAGTAAAAATATGCTTAGCAACATATTGAACTTGGCCTTAATAAGTTTCCTAACCTTAAGTTTAACGAAATCTTCTTTCAGGTGGCGTCTCTCTTGCAATAATGATAAAACGTTGCTCTCTTACCATCCTTGATGTTGTAAGAAGTTGCAACAAGGGGTACGACATCCGAATCCGTTGAAGAGGTTATGGGAAGACAGTGTTGTGTATAAATTCCCTCAAATATGGGGACATCAGTTAAATGACTTCTATTTCTTGGATACGGAAAATAAAAATAAAAATTAAGATAAACAGAAAAATAAAAATTAAGTTAAACTGGATATCTTCTAATAATAATAATAATAATAATAAGTGAGAAGGATTCAAAGAGTGTTCATCATCAAAAGTAGAGCAACAATGTTGTTTTAGACTTCTTTAAGCAACCCACCCAAACAATAAAGAGGTCCACATATATATGGAGCCTCAAAAGTTGATTCTCCCAATATTATCGCAATCCTAACTTTGGTAATTAACTCGAAGAAAAGCTTTTTGGCACTGAGAGAGCGGGTTAATAATTTTCAGTAACCAACATGAAGTATTGAATCATATATAACGAG